AAGCCAGGGATGTGAACACTAACCACTAAGGGTTGTGGAGAAGATTAAAGCACAGAGATGCCCAGCATGGCACCACACACATAGTAGGACTCAAATAATGTTCGTTTTTTTCCTCCCATCTTTACCAAGATCTTGCCAGACAAAATATGAAAAGTTTGGTGAAACTATGAAAAAGATGAGCTTGTAGGCCATGGATGGAGTATTCATGAATGTGCGTAGGAGGGGTTTTTAGGCCCGATCGGAACAAAAGGAGCTGCGATGAAGAGGAGAGCCAAGCCACTCCCTACCGGAGGGGAAGGCGGGGGTGATCAAGGTGGCCTTGGCATACACTGGCATTCCTAACCATCATGTGTTGCGTGGGACCTGGAGGAAGCTGAAGCCGAGGGTGAGGATGTTTCTCCTCCGCTGGCAGAGCCAGACAGACGATGAGGTTCTGGAAATTTTCCAGGTTGCTTTCTCAGATCAAGGGCCTTTGTCATTAAGGACCTCAAGAAGTCAGATCATCCTAGTGACCGTTCCCAAGTCTGCGCTTCTTCAGGACAAGGCAGGACTTCTGGACGCTCTGAACTGATAGTCACAGCTTCACCGGAAGTTTCTTGACTTGCTCAAAGGGCCCAAGGGGGAGATCCGAGCTGGGCGGGGGCACCGCGCAGAGGTTCCCTCGAGGCCCGTCACTTCACTCTGCAGGACCACCCCAAGTTCAAGAGCCACAGGCCATTTGGCAGAAATGATTCCCTGATTCTGATGTGCCGAAGTGAGTGGCATTTCTGTGGCTGTCTCCACAGAGCAAACCTAAGGATGTCGCTGAATTTTCAGAATCTGCCTTATTTGCAGAGTCTTGGTTTAACAGTAACTGATAAAGCACAGTGAACTCTGCCCACCAAAGAAAGCAACGGGCTCCCTCTCCTTTTCACACTTGGGAATTTAACTTTCCAAGCCAGCCTGCAGTTTTTATGATTTTTGTGGTCCAACTCTGCCCGAAGTTTGCCCAAAGATTTCCAGAATACACATTTCTGGAAATTAAATAAGCTCCATTAACAGGCGTATACACCTAAAGTCAAGATGGGAGTCGCAGCCTAAAATACACCCCGAGTCCTCAAGTGATTCATTCTGTTAACACCACACTGGTCAATGATGAGCATCGGGCCCACTGTTCCTGTGAAATTTTATGCAAATGAAGATAGTTTAGGGCTACTTTTATTTTACGGCTGAAATCCAAAATGCTAAACAACAAGAATATGTTATTCAAAAAATAATGATGCAGCCACACGCATGTGGTCATCAAATTAAATGGTCCACCAGTGAAAAATCTTGGCTAAAAAGGACAAGACTCAGCCTAGCCCAAAGCCATTTGACTATTTGGGTAACGTTGGACAAGTCTATTTCTCAATTCCCTCCAAGGAAGAGGGATGCCAATCACTGCCTCAGAGGGCCTCTGGGAGGATCGAATGAGCTGTGTATAAACTGCATAACACAGTAGCTGGATCATGGTAGGCCCTCAGCAAATACAAGCTCCCATCCCCACCTGCACCCCCCATCCTGCCCTCTCTCCAATGTCTAGGCTCTACAAGAAATCAACTGCCAGCCCACTGTTACCTTTTCCTAGGAGTGGAAGCTAGCATGGTGGAGATGTGGTGATAAAACAAGCATTTACTGAACATCTACCCTGGGCCAGACATGGTGCTAAGGTATATATCTCATTATCACACTTAATAATAACAACATTAAATTATTATTAACATTATTACCAATGACAACACTATCAGGGAGGTACTGATATAACCCCCATTTAAACAACAGGGAAACTGAGGACAGGTAACTAGCCCAAGGTCACATATTCAGGAGGCGGGCAGTGCCAGGATCTGAACCCAGACAGTCTGGGCTCTTCAACACTGAGCTAAGCTGCCTGGCCCTTAGTGGGGCTGGAGAGAGGTCAAGGACGATGGATGCCTGGCAGACCAGGCATGGAGAGTGGGAGCCACAGGGGTGACGGCTGTTCCACACCCTCCCAGGCCCAAGCGGGAGGCTATGCACTTTGGATGCAGGACTCACACAACCCAGCTTTGCAAAACGGCATTCCTTAGTCCTGACTAAAATAACCTTTTAGAAACTCACCTGCAAGCCTACCTTCTAAGGTCCTGAACATTAGCAACACTTCTTACAACATCTTGTCTCCTGCCATGTACTCTCCTCCTGGCAGCCAGAATGATCCTTTTAAAAACCAAATTGATGCCACCCTTCTGTCCAAAATCCCCAGTGGTTCCCCACCTCCAAGGCCCTAAAGAGCCACGCCACATCAGCTTCCTTGCTGTTGCTCCAATATGATACACAAATTCCTGCCCCACGGCCCTGCACCTACTATTCCCCCACCTACTATTCTCTCTGCCTGAAATGTGCTTCTCTCATGATTGCTTGGCTCAGTCCCTCATCTCCTTCAGATCCTTGTTCAAATGCCACCTTCCTGGGGATGCAATACTCCCTCTGGTTCACTAATCCCCCTCCCTGCTTTCTCCCATAGCACCTTTTACCACCTGACATACCACATAGTTTATGCATTTATTATGTCTCTCCCACTTCCACTAGAACATCAACTCCATACGGCCAGGGTTGCTGTCTGCTGTTCATTACTATATATCCAGCACCGGGTCATAGGTCAGACTCTGGCATTTAGCAGGTGCTCCGTAAGCATTTCTGGAATGAATGACCGGAATGATTTTTCACCTCCCCCCCCCCCCCCCCAACAATCTCCCTGTCTACTCAGGCCTGATCACTGGGTTAGGCAGCGAATACATGAGTCCCTTAACCTCTTCCACCCCTGGCTTCCTTATCTCCAAATGAGAGCGCTGGAGTAGGTTATCTGCAGAGTCCTTCCACGCCTGAAAACCTTCAACTGACAACAAAAGGCAACAATTCTTCCCCACAGCAAGCCCGTGGCTTCATTTACGTGATTATAAAAACCACATTTCCTTTAGTATTTTCCACAGCCAAGGCCCCGCAGCCCCCATGCCCCCAGAATAAGTGAGGTTTGGCTGAGCTGTGCTCTGTGACTTGTAACCTGCACACCAGGTCAGCATTAACCTCAAGTGCTGGGATCACTGGTCTTGTAAAATCGACCCAGGTTGGGTTACAAGGAAATAAACCAAACCACATTCGGTTGTCTCTTAGGATCAGAAACACCATCTCTCCTTGTCCCCCTCAATTTCACACTAATTCCTGAGCAGCCCATGCTGTTGGTTTTGGGGTTTAGCCAGAGGCCCTCTGGAGAAGTAACAAAATGGGGTGTTCTGGGCCAAAAGGAAGGTGCTGAGACGAAAGTAGACCCTGGTGTGTAAGACAGCGTGCTGTGGCATGGCTGGGAGCTCAGGGGAAGCCCATGTCAGAGGGTCGCAGGTCCTTCAAGGCCATTCCATCTAGCCTACCTCTGACCCCAGGGAGCCTTGGGGCTTTGTTTCCCCATCTGAAACAGGGACTAAGGGAGTCTAATGCTCCACAAAGTGCCTACAAGTCTAAGCCCCACTTGGCCAATCTAACCCAGGCCAGGGTCAAGTTCACCAGCATCAGCTAAGGCCTACATTGACATTCTCTTGATGTTTAAGGCGTAAGTCACTTCTCAGACTGAATGCTGGGTCACTGTATAACATTACTGCTTTGGTCTTTCAAAGATGCGCTACTAGCTTTAATGACAGAATCAATATAAACTCACTTGTTAGCTCCTTTGGAGTCCTTGCCTTCTTGACAAGCCCCCAGCCTATGGCAGAGCCGTTGGCCCCTAACAGTCTCCGCTAACACCTATTAACTGATCACTTCATACCAAGAAGTGAGCGGGCACAGTGGTTAAGCATATGCATCGGAGGAGTCAGACCTGGGTGAGCATCCTGGCTGTCCTGCTCACTTCCAACTGGGAGGCCTGAAGCCCAAACACGTCTCTGTGCTTCAGCGTCCTCGTCTGTAAAGTGGGAATAAGAGCACCTCCCACTTAGGGTTATTATAAAGATCACATGAATTAATAGTAAGTTGATATATGTAAGTCACGAAGTCGGGAGCTGACATGTAAGTGCTGACTCAATGGTAGTCATAATTATTAGAAATTTCTTCAAATGACACATGACCCTAGGGTTTGGATTGGTCCTTCCTGGGGTATATTCTGGCATCTTGGTAATAATACGGGGCTCCGTGACTGAGTATATTCAAGCCTAGGCTAGTCACGGGGAGCAGAGATGGCACGTATGCCACCCACCCGCTCCCCTGACTGGGCAGGCATCTCTAATCTATCTCAGCACTCTTCTCCCCCTGCAGCCGTGGGCTGCTAAGACCCAATACAGAGCTCCAGGCAGCCACTAGGACTATGGGGAAACCCGCCTGCTGTCCCCTGACAACAGGCAGATATGCTGGCATGGGAGATTCATGCACGAAGGCAAAGACCACTTCACGTGACAATCATGAGAAACGGATGGAGCCTTGTCTTTTCCCTGCTGTAGACCCAGCACTTTGAACAGTGCCTGCCACGCAGCGGACACTCAAATATCCGTTGGATGAATAAATTAGCATCAAATACATCTGGGCCCGTAGCACACAGCACTAGGCCTAACCTAGCAGGTGCTCAATGAATGAGGGAGGACGGTGGGATAGGCTTGCTGGACCCTCACTTGAGCTCACTGTTTCTGAACAGAGAGTGCACCCAGCTTCGGCAGGTTCAAGGCCTCGACACAGCCACTCACTCATCACATGACCCTGAGCAGGACCTTTCCTCCCCAACTTGAGCAGCCAAAGGCCCATTGAGGATTGAGTCATCCTTGGTTCCAGGCACAGGTGCCCACAGAGGACCCCAGGAGGTCTGGAAAGTGCTGCCCACACAGTACATCCTCCAGGGAAGTACGGATACTTCTCAGCAAAGGGGCCTGGCCCGGACCATCCATCCCTTCGGGAGGAAGAAAGAGGCAAACCAGGGAGAGGTGGCTGCTAGTGGTGAGGGAGGCGTGGTGAGGTGAGGGCGTACCTACCTGCTCGCCGTGCTTTTCCGTCCAGCCGCACTGGCTCCGTCAGCCTGCAAAAGAAACCCAAACACCTGCATTAGCCAAGGGGGGAGACACAGAATTCTACCCTCTGCCACCCCACCAGGCTGCAGCCCGGCACAGCCTTGGGACACAGGGGTGAGCTGGCCCTGTCCCCCGCTCCATTCCTTCAGGCTGGAAAACTCTGCCCCCAGTGGTGAGAGGGAGTCAGCACACCCCCAACCCACATTTGCTGGGCCCTTTAAATCCAGCGGAGCACCCATTGCCAACACAAACCCAGCAACCACAGAACCCTGGGGACTCGGTGAAAAGTAAGTAACCAGCTAAATCTGAGATTGAATTGCACCATTTTTATTTTCAGCTGGGATTTCCAATAAAACAGTAGCCGCAGATTTATTCCCACCAACCGGAGGGGGGAAATTCATTTATGTTAAAATATTCTGTCCCCCAACCCTCTGAGCAGGGGGAGGCGAGAGAGTGCTGGTTCCTAATCTCTTTATTTGGGGGCGGGGGTGGGGTGGGGAAATAAGGCTGACCAAATTAAATTTTCAGAAATCATAAAATTTCCGATGGAGAGACTGAGGCCCTGGGGGAGGAGGAAGCTGCCTGCAGTCTCATGAGGGCTGAGGGACAGAGACCTGGGGATCCTGACTCCCAGGCCAGTGCTGGGGGGACCGCGATGCGGAGGCCACAGACATGGGGGAAGGCCCAGGTTCCCCACCACCCCTGGTTGAAGAAGCAGCCCCTCGCTTTGTGCAAACGTTTAAAATAATGTAGCTTCAAAATGCTGGCACACATGTGTTCCCAGATTCAGAATCCTTCCAATTTTAGAAAGGTAATGTTGCCACGTGTGTTCTGCATTTGGAAACAACCCTGGCGGGGTCTGGGGAGCCCCCAGGACTCAAGCACATTGATGTTCCTACAGAGAAACTTACACAGTGAGCCCCCCTGGGATAGATGAAGAGGGCAACCAGCCTGTTCTCCCTGAGGTCAGGTCCTGCCACTTCATCAGCGACAAAAAAATCTTTCCTGTTTTCAAACTTTTCGCATTTCAGGGTTGGATGAAGGATTGATGACCTAAAATAAACACAGCAGCCGCTACCTATTGATGAGTGCTTATGGGAAGTTGCAAACTGGCAAAACCAGATGGCGGACTTCAATCCAAAGTGTAAATATATAAAAGTAAAGGCATTTCACCCCCCCTGGCCCCCCACACACAAAGGCCACATTTCAGCTTCTCTTTAAAAACCAGTTAATCCAGCAACACAGTCCCCACATGGCCACAGTCAGCTACAGCTGACATACCTCCTTCTACCCTTCCCTCTCGCCTCTTACACAGCCCTCCAGCCTGGCCCCTGTGGGCATCCAGACGCTCTCCCCCTGGAGAACTTCCCAGCAGGTGCTAGTGTACGACATTACATGCCGCTTATTCAATCCTCTCAATAGGTCCCCCAACACACATACACAATATTCCCATTTTACAGGTTCGCACAGAGGGTCCTTCAGCCACTTATCCAATACCCCATGGCTACAAGCCCAGGTCTGGGTGACTCCAGCGCCTACCTTCTCAGCTCTGTAATACTTTATTGTCCACCAACATCCAGGAGAGCTAATGGAGAAATGGGGTGAGCCTACACCACTCCGACTGTCCACAGGAGGGAAGTAGAAAGGTGAAGGACAAATGGGGAGGCAGAAGCATGAGGCCTGGGCAGGAGAAATTAATGGGATGCCGGTGTATTATTTCAGTAGAAGAAACAAAGCAGAAAATGGTTTGCATATCATTTCACTGGGAGCAGAAGAACGGGATCAATTACAGCCTCTCTCCGACACTGCATTCCTCAAAACTTGTCTGTAAAGCGAGCGGGAAGACAATGTTTTCACGTCCGTATCGTAAGAGGCAGAAGTGGCAGGGGGTGGGAATTCTGCCCCAGAGAGCCTAAAAAAACGGTACAATCCCAAATGACCTCTCGCCTTCCAGACTCAACTCTAGCCTTCGATTTCTAGCATTTCATACATATTTTTAATGTTGTCTTTTGTTGTCCTTTTCCTTCATAATTTCACACAGAGTTGACTAGTTCAAATACAGGGAACGTGGCTGGGTACGAGAGAAGATTCTGTTTTTTGCACACCTGATCATCCCCAGCTACCGTGCCCTTTTATGATGCTTATGATACTGGAGCTTTGTATCACTGCTAGCAACACTCATTTTTATTTTCCACCCATTTTTATAAATAAAGACAAAGTGCGAATAAAAAATGTTCAAATAGTTGTCTAAACAAATCCCTTTGCAGAGACTAAGGTGGTGGCACAAGGGAAAACAAACCGATGAAGGAGGAGTGCTACCCTGGCAGGAGTAGAGCTGATGGACAATGGGCACAAGTCAGAACTGTCGAAAATAGCACCTGTCAATCACAGCAGCTGTCAATCACAGCATGCGGGCCTGCATCTAGACCCACCATAATGACAAGGACGACCCCTCCCAGCCCCAGTTGAAGCCCGCAGTGCTAAAGGCGCCAACTCTCAGTGGTAGAGCTCCCTAAGAGGCCAGGCCAGCTTGCTGCGTGTCCTCACCAATCAATACATCATAGCGACCCCTACTGTTCGAATCAGTTGCACCGCTGACACTGCCATTTTCCTAGGCCCCAAGATTCTAATACCAGCAAATTCATGTGACCCAACCTGAACCACAAATTCAGGGTAATCTGACTTGATCTCAATTTGAAGTTTAAGAGGACAGGGTTTAGACTCAGGCGGTCTGCGTTCGAGTCCTGGTTCTGCCATTTCCTAGCTGTATGCTCCTCGGTGAGTTTCCTCATCTGCAAATGGCAATACTGTAATCCCAGGACCTCCATCATGGGGCTGGCATGAGACTTAATACAAGGTAACTTACACAGAGTAGCGCAGATAAACGTACTTAGCAGGGCTCAGCTGCAGAGCCGGCCTGGGCAGCACCAGGGGTCTCCCCGGCTTGTCTCAGGCCTGATCTGAGACAAGCCGCAAGTCAGCATCTCATGAGCTTCCACCTAACCCCCCACCACTGAACACGGCGGTGCAGATAGAGTACGAAGCGCAGGCCAGGCATGTGTTGCAATCGCTTAAGTAATGGAACCTCTACTGCTGTCGCCACTACTGCTGGGCCATGTGCTCCTAGAGGATATGTAGCTTCCTGCCCAGGCTCTGTCTGGGTCTCCCTTTGAACCTTGGGCAAGCTTTCCTTTCCCTGGACCTGAGCTTGCCCATAGGCAAGAATGGGAGCAGGAGCAGGAGAGCTGAGTCAGGTCATCTCCACCCTCTACGTTCCTCTCTGTCATTCTATGTGGAGTTGACCCAACCTTACCCAAGCCCTCGATGGCAAATGAAATGTGCTGGGGACAGTGGGCCATGAGAGACCCTCCTGCTCACTCTCTCAGAGGAGGGGGTAAAGGCACCCAGACACCCCCAGCTCCCCATCAGGGTACCTAGCCCCATCCATTCCTTATATACCGGCTTCTCCTTAGAACCTGAGCAAGGCTATTTTTGGTTCCATTCAACCCTCCTCTTCCCTCCCCAAATGAATGTTAAGTTGCTCTTTTCCATTCTCTTATTAAGGATTTTCTTGGAAAGAAAATATTATTCCAAACCCAGAAATTTTATTTCTAAATTTGTGCAAATGTAAGTTGTAATACATTAGCTGCATTTCACATTTTGTGCAAATGGCAGAAACAGGCAATTCGTGTGCTACGGGATGGGGGCTGGCCAACGATTTCGATAAAATAAACCCTTTTTTAATTTAAATGCTAATGCACTGAATTAAAATTTAATAACTGAGGAAATTGAAAAGCCGAGCAGGAATATTGGAAATAAATCCAAGCAGAAACAGCTGAAATTAAAAATTCTAGAGAGTGGGAGGATAGCAGCTAAGCTGTCTTATATGATTACATTTTTTTTTTTTTTTCAGAATGAAGCAAAAAAAAAAAAAAATCCTATCTCTCGCTGGCTCTGGGGCAGTAAATCCACAGTGCTGTGATTTATTGCTCAATTTTCCTGAGGGAAAAAGGCTTTCTTTCATGCTGAAATATTTCATAAATTTCAAGCCAGCATAAATTCTTAATTTAAAAGTTATGGAGGTCACATTTAGTGCACTGGTACGGTTCCAAAATCTTAAAGGAATAGAGCAACCAAAAAAAAAAAAAAAAGCAAATAGGAGGGGCAGAATTTGCTTTTTTTTTTTCCTCCCCCTTTTTGGTTTTAATTCACAAGTTGAAATTTCATTATTAAAGATTCCTCCTGGATGGATGAAACCCAAGCACGTGGGGACCTGGTGTGTATTTGGAAATCTGCCTCACAAGATGAAGAGATAAAGATTTAATTCAATTATAAAAAGGCTTTTTTTTCCCCCTTTAAGCCACTTGAGGAATTTCTGGTAAAAATTTCCTCCCTTCACTGCCCCGGAAGGGGTGAGGGTGGGGGAGGGTGGCCAATGTAATGGCTTCTCTTAGATCTCCAATCTTTTGTGCACACTGATATATTCATTTGTTATACAGCTGTTCAGCGGCGGAAAGAATGCTGGGGCGCCCATAATTCTAAGCAAATCAATCAAAAATTAATGATTTGTCATGCTTGCACAATGGAGGAAAACAGCTCCTTGGGTCCTGGCTGCCTGATCTCAAAGAATGAAATGCCTTTCTTGGAAAAGAGAGCCGAGCCAGAGGTTCAGGGAGGCTGGGGTGCCACAGCGAATGCGGGAGCTCACGGTTCCCCCAGCTCGGAGGGGATGGAGGGGGCCACCGCCCTGGGAGGGGGCATCTCCAACATGGCACCTCGGCCAGCCAAGCCCGGGGCCTGGCGCAGCACATTTCCGTGGGGGTCTAACTAGGATCTTGCCTTTTCCCTCCCCCACTGAAACTCCAAAATTGCTTCCTCTCTGGAGACCAAGGACTCCCCGCTCCCGCACCAGATTGGATTGATCCTGTTCACTGTTCGCCAACCCTGCTAACACACCCCCACCAGTGCCTTTCACCAACTCAACGGGACTAGGACCACGGTTCCTGCA